CAATTCGACCTAGCTCACTCTAAACCAGGTTTGAAGACGAAGCTGCAACGTAGGCCGCATTCCCAGCTCCTATATACGTCCCAGCCTCTGTCGTATATATCTACTCTGCCGCGACCCGTGCTGCCACTCCCCCCACATTTACATGCCCCTACAATGTCACTTACCAACCAATTCACTACTGAGGCGTAGTCCGAAGAGACTTCGAACAGCTAGCAGTGCTAGGTCTAAATGAAAGGCTGCATAAAGATAACCATCCTCACGTAAGCAAGTCCCTTGAAGTCCCTTGCTGTGTTGGCTTTGCAACTCCCCTGTGTTTGTTGCATATGTGGGATAGTAATGTAGATATGTACCACAATACATGATAAAAACACAAGTTATGAGCCAAATTTTAACTTTCACACATTAGCCTATATGGCCAGAATAGATGTGCCCTGCTGTAGATTTATATGGAACACTGAAGCTGTACACAGGAACATCTGACCTTTGCACAACATCGTAGGCTGGATTGTGCGCAGTAGTGATCTTGACTTGACCTCTACGTTTACATTTCAATCCAACAACAATGCCAACTGCTACAGTAAGTATCACCAGCAGGAGCACAGCAGACAATACACCAACTAGTATTCTCACTCCACCAGTATCACTTGAGTTTTGTTGGGGATTGTTAATAGGGGCTTTTGTAGAACGAGCTATTGAACCACCATGGTCACCGGTATATGAAGTAGTTCTGAGAAAAGTTGGAGTAGGAATAGGTGTAGGTTGAACCGCTGAGCTAGCAACACGAAACACCGAAGAAATAGTGCGTACTGATGAACTGGTATGATGCAATGTTGAAATTGCAATCTTCTCGGTTGTAACCGCAATCTTGGTAGTAATGGTGTTAGTAACACTTGCACATTCTGCTGGCTCTTGGCTTGAGCTTATGACTGTGTGAAAAAACTTCTACTGGTGATCTCCGAGCAGTAAATTGGAATGCACTTAGATCACGGTCACATGCTAGCTACCACACTCAGGATACGTAGGTGGTACTTACTATGGGCTTCAATCGGTGAATCTGATGCTGTCACAACTGCACAATCACTACCAATAATGATCGTGTACTTACTGTCATTTGGTCTGATGTACACATCAATGAGTGTGTTGAGGAGCACCACAGCTGAAGTGTTTGTAGAGATTTGAACGGAGAACACTTCCCATGACTCATTGAGAGAGTCATCCAAAATATCTATCTCTACACAACCTTCCAACGTCATATTGATCGAGGGCTCAAATGTCAGTGTCTTATTCAGTGGAAGGTAGTCACTAAAAGCTGTAGGACAGGAAGAGTTTTTTCATGGAAGTTGAATATCTACGGTAATTTACATGACCCCTATATAGCCCTGTTACCTTATAGCATACAGTGTATTGAAGTACAAATAACTTGTTAGCATTTTTCTTTCTATTGTTTCGTGAAAGAAAAACGAAAGAATGTCTTAGGCATTTCACCTGTAGCTGATGTAAATGTTCCATGAGTGGTGGGCGTTGTGATCAAGGCAATGTGGACCGTTTGACTCAGAGTCTCAGCTCCTACCACCTCCAGACACACCCTAACACTCTGTTGGTTTTCCTCCGCAGTCAAGTGATAGGGAAAGTATTGGTCATGAACCAACCCTGTCACATACACTGGAGGAGCTGTAGGGGGGAAAAGGCAACATAAAGAAGTGGCCTCTATGCTATATATAGTCATCTTTTGCCTTATCTTCATGTATGAATTTTGTGAGTTTCATCTTTCAGTTGTACATGATACGGCTATTTGACATACCATTGGAGCATTGAGTTACAACAGCCACAAAGCGGCACTCGGCCTCAAATGACACTGGTCCTATATCACACTCGGCCAGGGAGTTCTCAGTTCCATCACACTCTATGTGCCCGTATGCCCCTCGAAATGATTCAACTAGAACATACCCTGACCACGAGAAAAAATTACGAAGTGCACACACGAATCGATGCACATGCACAAACTTACTTGCTAAACCAAAGCTGAAGCCTTCTTCTCTGCATGCCACAGTAGCCTCTTCATTACCCCACCCACTCCCGTTGCAGATTGGTCGATAGTAAGAGGTTCTATCACACGGAGAGCTGCTGTAGCTTACGTACCACACACCAATGCTTTCCCACCAAGTCAGTAAAAGCCCACTTGTTCCACAAGTGTTGGATTGTGCTGTAGAAAGACATAAAAGTATGGTTACTTCTAACTGGTATCTTTATACAGTATACGATGTAGCAGGGGGAGCTACACGTACCAAGGGCAGTAGAAACGTACAGAATCAAAAGTAGCCACATCTCGTTGTGCGCAATGTGCAAACCCTCGCCGAACTGCGCATGCGCGTCACCGATAATCGGCTATAGTAGAGTCTGACACGGGCTAGCTAGATAGCATGCGGGAGTCGATACACGCCCTTCGTTGTGACTTCTTGTGCCTTCAAGATACACAGAGCGAGCGGACTCGGTCGAGGTAAGCCTGTGTTAATTAGCACTTGGAATGCAGTACTTTTCACCGAGGTTCGCAACGCACCATTAGAATTTCTGTGGACACGATGCGACAGGAAATATTGTGTAGTTTAGATATGCAAATCCGGACGAGAAGACGTACTGTAGTTATTCCTCCCAAACACCGTTAGCTATACGCATTGGGCTGAAATAATTGTCCTCAGAGGCAGTGGTGGTGGTAGCTAAGCCATATCTATGTGGCACTGCCATTGTAAGCACCGAGCTGCCTTTGACACGTTAGCCTTGGTGGTCAGAGCAGTTCAGCCAACACAGCTATTGTCCTCAAAGTCATGCCTTCCATCCCTTATGAATTGGGTTGACGATTACGTCTCTTCCTGCCAACAACAGATCTAATACTAGCCAATTTTGGCTGCATGTGCACATGAGGCACTTCACTACCTTCATGGGCACTGGATGAATCTAGGTCCCATTTATAGCCTAAGCAGTGCTTGGCCAGCTGGCGAATGGTAAGGACTCTCTGAATTATACAGCTAGCAAATCCTAACTGTCTCCCTACATGCCTACTCTCTCTTTGTGTCAGGACTTTGACAAACGGCCCCACAATGCTCATCTGTTGGGCTCAATACATGTGTACACGTGTTTACAGAACACTAAAAAGGTAGCTATACAATATTTTGCGACTTCTCTCAAAGGTTGCGGTGTGTGTTGCGGTGGACATGCCAATGTAAAATCTATGCTCTGGACACTGATTTTTGTTTAAAGAATCTTCTAAGGGTATTAAGAAGAATTGGTATTGGCAAAATAAATAATGTGGTTAAACGACATTGGTTTTTCCATCTGGAATATCGTCGTAGTCGTAATTGTGTCCATCATCAATATTCAGAGTTTCTGTTGCACTGCAAGGCAAGCAGACTTGGCCGGGCATGGCATAGTTAGGGCCCTTGAGGACGGCATAGTTTGGGGCCTCCAGAACAACATACAGTCTTGCGTCGGTCGCATCTGAGTTGGTATCGTAGAGAGGGTTAACCACACTGTGCTCAGTTATCTCGCGGCACCCTGTGAGCTGTTTGAGGACTCCATACTCGCATCGTAGATTGGGTTACCAAGATGTTTCTGTCCTCCACCTCCTCCTCTTTCTACCACACTCTCTCCTTTGTTCTGGTTAGTGGAACCACTCACTTGTGCACTGGCTGCTCGTCTCTCCTCCTTCTCTTCATGTACACCAAGAGGAAAACCACTGCGACTACGAGGAAAAGAACCACAACTACCGATGTGGTTATCGCTGAGAAAACTGCAACTGGCAATCTCCCAAAAAAAACTGCAACTGGCAATCTCCCAGAACTCAGCCAGAGAGTCATCAATAAGCTCTATCTTCAGACACTGCTGTGATCTCAAGGACTCAGTCGGCTCAAATGTAACAGTTTGTTGTAGAGGATGATAGTCAAAGTTAGCTGAAATTATTAAAACGATGTTTGTCCCTTCTTTTTAGATGATAGGACTCACCCACTGCCGCACCATTGTCAGTGGTTTCCACTAGTACATGTAGAGGTTGTGAGAGTGGTCCCCACACAATGACAGAAATCAGCAGTTTCATTCTCGAAAATTTCTACTCGTTCAAAATGCTGGTAACTTTTTCCCTGGATACAAGAACCTGAGGAACTAGATGAGAAGATAAACGTATCCTATTGGTGTATTATTTACCATCAAGGCAGCGGGCAATGCCAAGATACGAGCAACTGTGTGATGTAAGGTTCCCCACTTCACAGCCTTCCAGCCTCTCTTCACCTCCCTTGCAGTAGCTACACATGAGCGTAGCCAACTTGGTAATTAGTATCAGCAAACTCAATATATATAATCTGGTGAGGTGTGATGTGTAGCAGGATAACTAGTTAGTTGTAAGGTGAATAGCTATAAAAAAGTACCACCCAATCCATAGCTTGTGTTAATCTTGCTCTTGCACACTACATTAACTTCTTCATCTCCCCAGCCGCTGTCCTCACAGAATATGGGACTATCTGTAGTATGATCTCCACAGTTCTGGTTCAATCTCACGACGTACTCTCGTTCAGATATGTTTGTAGGTAGCATGCTAACTCGGTCGCAATTGCCTACATATGTATCACACGACTCGTTAAAATACAGAGCTATAGTTGGCCACAGACACTATATTTTACCGTGAACGAAAGCACAGGAGGCCGCTATGAAGAGCAACAACAAACGGAACCTCATCCTACTGTCCGGTGCTGCAGTCTGCCTGCTCGCTCGACTTTGTGTTGCTCTATTGTGTTACCGGAAGTTGGTTGTATATAATACAAGTGGAAAAATCATTTCTTCAAAATGAAGGGGATATAGGGATGGCTTGAAGCACCAAAAAGGAAGAAACAAGGGGTCATTAGAAAGCAAAGATGCACAACGCTACATGACACCATCCCTAAAATCTTTGTAAACTTTACTTGTGAACTATAACACAAAGATATATGGATGGTGTCATGTAGCTTTGTGCATCTTTGCTGTGTAATGATCCCTTGTTTCTTCCTTTCTGGTGCTTCAAGCCATCCCTATATCCCCCTTCATTTTTAAGAAATGATTTTTCCACTTGTTTCCACTATTTTTCATGCCTTATGACAACACTGCATTTTCAGTTCATGGGTGTTGTAGAGATAACTGTTGAAAGCAGAAGCTAACGGGCTCCTACCTGAAGCAGGGTGTATGCGTAGTGTCTCCAACAACGATGCAATTAGGTTGTGGCACATATTATGTTGGGGTGGTTTCATAGGCAGGCTTCAGTAATCAGACTACAATAATAGCTGTAACCTGGGGGACAAACAATGAAGGCACTGGGCAAGGCCCGCGTAACACGGCGCACACTGCAAAGTTGCTCCTCGCACAAATCAACAGCAAAACGCAAGCTAGCCAGTTAAAAATGTGTATACTGACTTACAGAGGCACTGGAGGATAAGAGTTCCTCTGCAGGGATCCTGGCTTAGTCTCGTAGACCTGGTTCACGCACGAGACTATAGTAATGCGCGCGCACTGCATTGGATGATGACATGAAAATCGCGAAATCGCGTAAGAGCGAATTCTCTCGTGGGGATCTGAGGGCACGTAGGAAGCCTTGGGGCATATGTATAGGTATTGGCCTCTATACTATTGCTAGTGATTTTGAAGCCATGGTGAGTCATTCTCGCTTAGTTTTGAGGCGTTTTGTACGCGGATCACGTGAGATTTCACTCGCGTCATCCCTATATATAGAGCGTCTACCGACGCTCTGATATCGCGGACATGCATTGCTGTGTGAGGAACTCTCGCGTTTGTTTGCCAAAAATGAGTTGCATTCCTTATAATGGCTGTGAGTAGGTGGGACAATGAGATCAAGTTGTAGGTAGAGCAGAGAGGAAGGTGTAGCTAACAAATCGTCTCCACTGTCATGTATACACATTTTCAAGTTCAAATGCATGCATGGTTGTCAAGTGCTACAGCTCTCCATCTTTCTGCATCTCCTGTACTACTTACTGCTGGGTAGTCTATATATGAGGAAGGTCTGTTTTGTGGGGTTCACTGATGACAAACATTGTTATAGACCGAGGCGGGTAAAGTGCATTTCATCCTATCATTCACTACTTATAATGAGCAACAAAACTACTCTGCACAGCACAAGGCACCTAAGGCACCTAATAATACTACTTTCTGTTTCATTTTCTGCTATCCAAGTCTCTTAGTCTGTTCCATTTGGCATAGCGACTTACTGTCCGGCAGAGCTCTCGTTTCGAGCATAGAACTGGTAGGCAGCTCTCAGCCCAGACTCCAAGGCCCCCTGGATCCATCCAGAGGCAAACGAGATGGCTTCTCCCGCGAAGTAGATGTTCCTCCACGGGTACATGAGCCACATGACGTGCTGCACCTGCCGTGGTTTTAGGAGGGCATAGGCTCCCTGCTCGGCAGGGTCGTTGTACCAGGCCTTGATTGCACCAAACTCAAACTGCTCCCTGATTTGGGGGTGGATCTCCGCAATTTGATCGACGGCTTCAGCCACGGCCAGTTCGGGGGTCAGAGCACCAAACAAGAGGGCCTCAGACTTCCAGGTGTACACGAGAAGAATTCCCTCCTTTATTCTTTTAGGGATGGTGTCGAACCCGGGGTTGCTGGGGTAGTGGATCTGGCCCACGGGGAGATTGGTCTTGGTGAATCCACCCTGGATCTTGTACTCTGTCTCCCAGAACCTCGTCTTGCACTGGAGCATTATCTTGGACGACGGCCCGTACCAGATGTCCTCGATGGCCTTGTAGAACTTCATCGGCATCAATGGCGTATCTTTGTCCTTGGATTCGGAAGTTGCTGGGGTGAACTTGATCTGTCTCAGGATGTTGATCGGAGTAGTAACGATGACAGCGTGCCCCTCGATGCTCTTTTGCACAACTTTCCCGTCACTCTTCCTCTCCTTGAAGCCCTTCACCGTGACTTTCCTGTGGAGGTCGTCCGACGGCGACTTGTACTCGATCTCGGTCACCGTGAACCCAAACTTGATGTGTTTCTTCAACTCTTTCTTGAAAGCCTCGGGGAGCCCCGACATCCCGCCCTTGATGGTGTGCATGTGAGGCGTCCACCAGTGGCCCATAGTCTCGCGGAGAAACTCGACCAGACTGGTGTCCATTGCAGGAGTGTAGGAGAACACCTCGTAGGCAGTGGCGGCTGCCTCGGGCCAAGGCAGGAGTTCGCCGAGCTTGTCCAGGCCGATACGATAGTCGGCCGGGATTCGTTCGATTACGGCCTCCTTGGTGGAGTGGAGGAACCCGTCCAGTGGGAAGTGGGACCAGGTCTCCACCCACTTGCTCCAGATGGCGGAGCGCGCTGCTGGACGAACAACTCCAGCCAGGAGGATACGGAGCTGGTCTACGACGACATTGGTGGTGAGCTCATAGTAGGTATCTGTAGGGAGTGGCACATAGCACAGCTGTAAGATGCACTAGGTAATACACAAATTTTGTATAGAGTTATGATTTACGGAAACGAAGTTGTGTGCTTGAGAGACTCTTACAGCAAGAGGCGCTGTGTGGTGCCATATGGGTCTCAAGACGACAGCACAAGTTTCTATACTGAACAATACACGCTAGCTATTAATTTTGTTTTACTGTCTTTTCTGTGCTAACTGCGAAACCTGGAGAGCCAACACCGTAGAGGGAAATGACCGCTTGCTACAGCTACACCTGCTTGCTCGTTGATCTTCATTGCTATGCACAGCAACATCTGATGTTACTTTACAAGAAGTAAACAACTTATACAGGTTGGCTTTTGTTTGAAAAAAGGCTGCAAGATGCGATTTAAGGTTAAGTAACTGTGTGGGCGATCTCCACAATAATGGGAAGGTACATAACCTTCACCTTAAGTTTGAACCTATAGTTGAATATATGAACAAACCCTTCACACAAAATGTACTTGCAAGTTCTGCTACTGTTGATCTCAACAATACACATGGCATAAAGTGCCGCTAATTGATGGGTCGGGCTGGGGCCATGCATCCAAACCATCGACGGAGCCAGTTACTCCTGCAGCACCAGTGGGTAGCATTTGGAGTTATGCTGGACCATCCTTTGAGCAGCTTCATCCCTCCATAGTGCACTAAACAGGCCACACCTGGTTGAGCCAGTGCTGATTAGCCACTTCGGCTTTTTGGCTTGTTAACCCTCGGCACGCATGCGCAGCAAGGGTTACGGTAATTGGGTCTGTCTGTCTGTTACTCTACATCTCACTTCTCGAGTGTTTGTTCGTCTCAAAAAGGATACGACCTACTTAACGGGCAATGAAGGTCAGAATTTCGAACGGTTTTCTCTGAAAACGCTCCGTTGCAAAGCCGGAGCGCTTCCACCATTGTATGGCTAATGCGTAGTCGGCCATTTTTATCGCTGCGGAAAATGCGCATGCGCTTATGGGTCCGCTTGCTCTGTGTATCTTGAAGGCACAAGAAGTCACAACGAAGGACGTGTATCGACTCTCGCATGGTGCTATGTAGCTAGCCCGTGTCAGACTCTCTGCGAGCTACTAGCGGGAGACCACGAGTAAACGCATACTAATAGCAGCCCAGCCCATCAATTAGCAGCACCGCGCATGCCCAGTTCGCCGAGGGTTTTCACTTTAGTGCTTTTCATTTTCTTGAATGCAGTCATTTCAGGAAATCACTTAACATCAGAAGAACGGTATCGCTTATAGGCCACCTCTTAGGCAGTATATAACACACGGCAGACCAACACACTAACGCAAGTACTGTAAGCCTTGCTGCACATGCATGCTGAGGGTTAATGAATGCCTTCTGAGCCGACATAATAAGCATAGATGTCATTTTCCCACACAATATGGTTGATAATGGAGCTCTTCATGGTAGAGGCTCTGAACGACACCATTTGCTACCAATTCAGTTTGCACAGTTTAGGCGTTGAGCTGATGCTGAGAGTCCGTGCAGTTACTCTTATATCACTGTTGTATACTGGCAGAGGAAGAGGGATATAGGGATGGCTCAAAACATGACAAGGAAAGAACAAGGGGTCATAACACAGCTGAGACACAACGGTACATGGCACCATCCTTATATCTTTGTCTGATTGTTTGACTATCAATTAAACACTTTGGATGCCTTAACTAAGCAGAAATTGATGTATAAATCACATTAACGTCTAGTATTATAGCCCCATGGGTTTATGGAGGCTCTGGACACGTTTATATGTCCTTGGCTTGCTAAGGGTTAAAATAGAGCAAAGATATAGGGAGAGTGCCATGTAGCGTTGTGTATGTCATGTTTTGAGCCATCCCTACACCCTCTTCATCTTTGAAGAAATGATTTTCCCACTCATTTTCATTTGTTTAATGATGATTACGCAGCATTAATTTTACTTATTATTATCACTGAGATGTACATGGGATGATGATGAAACTGCCTGACAATGCAAGCACCATGCACATAAAAAGCTAGCTTTTGTAGTGAGATGAAGTTGGGTAGACAGGGACACTGAAACACCAGCATAGTACACAACAAATGGGCTGCTGAGCACAAAAGGCATGTTAGCTATGCCGCCGCACCCATCGCCCGTATGGAACGCCCTCATGAGCATTGCCTGCGCACACATAAAGGACATCGCCCCCCTCTGCACGCTAGGCACGTGCTGCTGAGTTAGCAGGAAATTGTGTGGTTCAGAGTACGCCATGGAAGAGCTCAAAGATCAACCATAGGAACATGCGAGAAGAAAGAAATGATCGTTTGATGGCCGTGCATACCTCTATGGAACCTTGAGACGTTTAGTGAAAAAATCAGTGCTTCAACTGGTTCCGGTAAGGAGATAACGGGTTTGAAGAAGAATAATAATTATTATGATGATGATGACACGTAAGTCGTACATTCACGTGTGAGTGAATTCTCGAATGGAGAACTGTATAAAGTCTTGGGGCATATGTATAGCATGGGCATGTAGACCTTTGCTAGTGATTTTTTAGGGCATATCGACCTAGTTTTGAGGCGTTTTGTATGCAGATCACGTGAGATTTGACCCATGCTATCCCTATATAGAGTGTC